GTAAAGACGAAGACGATAGCTGCGATTGTAACGGTGATGATGAGGGTGGTGGTAATAGTGATAATAACGACAACAGAGGTAATGACTTTGACGTTGAGAATGATATCGCTGAATGTGGAGAAGTTAATGACGTTGACGGTAACCAGAGCAAAGATGTAGACGATAATAACAGTGACTGTGATGAGGTTGACATGTTAAAAAAAATCAGAGAGGGATGAACGTAAAACTTTTGGGGGACGACGGAGCGTGAGATGATTTACGCAGGGTGGACATAATCAACGACGATGGAAGAAGAGAAAAACTGACGGACGACTGACTTAAACGATTTCTTGTGGCTGAGGTATACGAAAAAAGTGGTGTCACAGACGAAAATGAGTTCACAGGCATCAAATATAAATCTTTTTTCTGGTTGGACACGGATCATACAGCACATTTAACATTGAGAAATTTACAGGACATAGCAGAGGGTTTTCGCGTTAATTAATGCACATAAGTCTCGGGTACGCACTAGTAACATCCAGTTCATTAACAGCTTTAATATTGTTTCGTCTGAAGGACAAAATCCTTATCCGCGTACCTTTTGCCGTTGCGACAGGAACATGTTTCAAGTTCATGTTTGAACAATCTTAACAGATGGTATCTTTTCACATAACCACATTTTCGACCAAGGATTACACCTACCGCCATAAAAAGTAAACATGCCAGGTGTATGTCTAAGTCACTAAATAATTTAAGGAGTGATATATCTCTTTTATTGAATTTAAGCACAGCCAAGTAGCTTGAAAGTGCTACAATTTCCTGTTCCGCATAGGTGGACTTTGGACATCTTTCCCATGTTAACCCGTTCAGACACTCATTCACATTTTGCGTCAAACCGTGTGTACACATTTCCAACAAGGCAATATTTTCGATGCCAAGCGACTCTCGACGATGAAAAGTGCAACTTCTTCAACTGGGGCGACGTTTCAAATATATAGTAAAGTCATATAAAGAAAAAAATAAAAGTGGAAAAAGATCCAAAGGAAAAAGAAGCTAAAACTTCCCCTCTAAGAAAGCGAAAAGAAAGAACCAAACCGTTCCAGGATGACGAGTAAACTCTGAACTAGTAAGAAGAATAATAATAAAAACACTATTGCATTCATGCATGGTCGCTCTACTTAACTTAATGCTTCAAAAATTTTCCTTATAATTAACATTTTGTTAAGTATTGCAGTGTGTGTGTTTATAATATACAATACCCTTGAAGATTATTTGTTTATAATTAATCCTGTTACTCTGTTGGATTCCACTAGTCGCACACTATAAAACGAGGCATGATTTTGCGTATTGTCATCATATCAAGACAACGACGCCAGTTGATCATGGGAGAAAAAGGACAACTCGAATGTTTGCAAACTCGAGCAATCAGGTCTCAGGTCTCAAGTCTTAAGGCAAAACGCTTGCGGAAAAAGGTTCAAAAAGAAATATCTAAAGAAAAACCGATGTCTCTAAAGTTTTAAAATTGCAAAATAGAGCTACCAAGCTATTACAGCAGAGTGTCCACCTAGTGGAAAAAAGAAATAATATAAAAAATCATCCAAAAACGAAGAAAAATCTGAAAAAATAAATCACATACATAATTCATAGACATGAGTTGGTCATTTCTTACTCGCACTTTTTCTTTAATATCATCTGGCTTGTGGCCATAGGTGTGATTATTCTCCTTCTCTATGTCATACGTTAGTATAGGAATATCACCATAGTAGTTAAGGTGCAGGTATGGTCCCGGAAGTAACCGGAGCTCTTACCCGTGTCAATTAAATGGGCAGAACTTATCAAGTACGCATGCAATGATTGGAGAAAAATATTTTCGACTGAAAAAAAGAGCAAATTAGGACATGAGACGTTGATATTCTTGGATAAATTTATTGAAATAAAACATTTTTAATTAAAAAATCTAGCAACGACCACTCTGAAATAAAAAGAAATCAATCTTACTGACTGTTTTACTCTATCAATGTTCAAAAGATAAAGAATTCTAAAATTACATACTGAAAAAAATCTTCCAAAAAGCGGTCTACTTCTTCGTCAAAACAACTAGAGTATAAAGCAATGGGCATTACATAAAAAAGCGACTACAACATTAGCAAACATATTAATTATTTGACTTACAAGCAAATACGGCAATTGAAAGGCAAGCATTCTACAAGCCTCTCCTCCACCTCAGAGAGGTGGACTCTATGTCCACAACATGGTGGGCATATGAACCACATTTTGCAGTCTTCACACTGGCCTAAAATAATGAACAAAATCACAACTTAAATTTTCTAAAGTCATATCAAACATTGAAATAGAATTCCAATTCAACTTCCTCAAAATTGGGGTTATGCTCTTCGACGTTGTCATGACTCTGTACTGTTCGTCCTCTTTCCTCTAACAACTTTGCTGTTTGTCTGAGACTTTGACGCGAGTGCTTCTACATGCAAAATATTGACAAAGGCTCTTTTGTTAGCAATAATTTTCCAATGGATCGCACATTTCCTTCGGCATGTGTGCGTTTCAGAGTAAATGCCGGCATTGAAGCATTAAAACAGTAATTTGCCTCGTATGTCTGCAGGCCCAATGTATTTTATACACCACCAATTAAGATTATGAAATCACGTTGAAGATCATCGCCAGTTTTTGTTTGGAAAGTATATTATGCATCATAAATGTCTTAAAAAATTGTAGCCATAGGTCTAAACAATTATTATCTCTGCAATTTTCAATCGATTCTGCTTATATGCAGTGACAAGACAACAACTAAAAAATTATTATGTTTTAATAGGTAGGGTAAAAAGATCCCAACAGTAGTGGAAATTCAGTTGGTGAGGTTGTGGGGCGAATTTCATGCGATTTTTTTTTTGCCAAAGTGTCGCAAAACGTTTGCATGCCATGCAATGTTCAAGAACTCCGTAAAATCGACTTCGGTCGTTCGCGATACGCTCTATAGGCAAGGGCCAAGGATAACCACGATTAGGCCGTACTATTGCTTGGCAAGTTTTATACTTAATCAACGTCGACGATGCAAAAAATTTTTTTTAATATATGCAAAATTTTCTTTTAAAAATGTATGAATATATTCGACATACAAATGTAAAATTAAAAAATGTTACATTCTTTCTGTTGGTGCATTGATAATATTTACAAAAAGGGAAAGTTTCGTCTCTTAGGTTTGCTCATTTCGTGGGATACGAATATTTTACGACAGTCTTTACATATATGTTTTATTAGCTCAAGTCCATTTACTTGGAGGGGTGATGGTTTTCATAAAGTCTTTCATGGCATTGTCTTCCGACACGTTTTTGAAGGCATCATCAAACTACGAAATCATACATTTATCATTTTCCATCAATAAGCAATCATGTTGACGTTGGCAGGGTGAACGATGAAACAGCCATTGCAATTCTTTTTGACTTTTCCGCGTATCTTTGCAGCAATTTTTTCGGCATAGCAGTCTAATAGTTTATTTTTGCAACATGCTTTGACGCTGACTAATTTCATTTTTTCTAAGCCAGAAGATTTGTTCATTTTCAAAGGCAGATCTTTCGCACAATCTGTAGGAAGTGCTGGTTCACTGTTCTCAAAACTTCACTCGAACGATGGGACTGTATTTTGTCAATTATATTTAACACTTCGATAGGATATTTACATTGTTTGTGCACGATTTTTACGTTACGGAGTTCTAAACGTTGGTTCTTCGCGATACGGAATACTTAAATTGATATCGTTAAGATTACGGACAACCGTCAATCCTTAAACTGAGTTTTCGAACTTTATTACCTTTTGCAATACGACTGTTAATTTATGAAATTTGTATGACCAATTCATACACCAATAATGTCAACTTTTCCGAACTCCCGAATTAACGCTTGCAAGCTATAGTTTTATATAATTATTAGGAAGTGGTTTTAGGCGTTTACATGACTTGCAACTTCGCCATTCCGTTTCTAGAGTTTTGTTTCTATCTACATCCTACCGCAATGACGGATTTCGGTGAGAAAGTGTTCCCTTGACATGACTATAGTATTTTAGCTTTTACGTACGTACAGGATTTCCACTGAAACCACAATTTTTAAGTATCTACGTATTTTCTATCAATTTAAAGGGGTTATATCACGAATTTTAGCCCCCCTTTTTTATTAGCTAAATTGAAAGACCTTATTTCAGTGATTTTAAATCTGCAATTATAATTGAAATTGGATTGGTGAAAGTGATTTTATGGACGTTCAAAGTCACGATTTTCAGCATTTTTTTTGCGAACTTTTTGATCGGTATGCTAATGAGTTGTGACGTAGATAGTTGAACACATATATCAACATGGCGTATTCTACTAGTAATCTTAATAAGAAACGCGGAGGAAAACGCTGTGTTGCTGGCGGACCTAATCCAATTAGTTGCGCCAATGATTCAAAAACAGAAGGAATGTCGATGCATCTGTTTCCTAAAAAAGAAACAGAGCCGCAAAGACATAGAAAATGGGTAAATTTTGTGCGTAAACATAGACCGGGTTTTGAGGCTTCCTCTACCTCTTGTCGGTGTTCTGCGCATTTTGATGATTCTTGTTTTGACCTTAATTTGAGCGTGCAAGTCAAGCTCAAAAGAAGGTTGAAGAAAGACGCTATCCCAACCATAGACGTGGCTGGGATTCCTGAACCATCACAGGACGAAATAACCGATCGAAAGCGCAGACAAGTAAGTTTACGCTTGTTTATGTTAATTTTTCTTTTGTCATATAAATTCGATATAAGTTTTGTAGATTATTCGACATACTCTCCATAAGCCATCGCTGAAGGAAACATGTTCTCTCGATGAGGAAGTACCATCTACTAGTGATGGAGCTGAGCATGTTGAAGTATGCACTGGGGAAGCAAACGATTCGCCATTTGAAGAAGAACTACATGCAGTTGGTGAAGATATTTGTGAATCCCAGTCTCCATGTAAATCGTGCCATCGTCTTAAGAAAAAACTTACATCTTTACAAAAGACTTTAAGCTGCACTTTATCCGTGCTGTAAGTATGGGATAATGGTATTGTTTACAATTATTTTAGGATGTAATGATCTGCATTTTTCCTTAGTGGAACAGCAAAGACAGCAGTTACAAGACCTAACAGATGATGCAGATCAAATATTAAATAGCTCTGGGAATAAAAGTACTCGCAAATGTACTAAATGCAAAGCTCCAATGAAAGGACATCCTCGAGGTCAATGCTTCACTGAAAAAGAATAAATTGAAGTTGGTAGATGATAGGGCAGTGGTCAGACATTGCTTGGAGCCTGTCTGGAATGGAGAAGTAAGGCACCTCCTTCCCACCACCAGCCTGAGGGTTCACCTTAGGCAAGTGATAGTACCCTCTAGCCTCCCTATCTGGGCACTGATATACACACCTTTCCTGATGATTACAGTATTAATATAACATTGAATTGTATGTATACTTGTCAGATTGAAGATGACTATCTCACTCGATTGTGCAACTAATTAATTTTCATGAATAATTTTTTTTATTGTAGTTTAATGCTCAACATGCCCTTTGTGGATGCAGTGCACTCAAGTGTGAAGACCTTATAAGATAAGTTCATGTGGCTTGCTATTTTCCATTTTACATTTATGCTATGATTTAATTCCATATAATTTTTCTTTTTTTCCCAGACTGACATTGAAGAAAAGATTTTCTTTACCGTATAGTGCATCCATTATCTCCTATTTGGTTTTCATCTAGGCATATTTCCTGACCATTCTAAACTCAGCAAAGAAGGCCAACAGTCTCTACAGTGCACAAGTTAAAGACCTTTCCATCATCGCCCTCTGATGGTATGTAACCTTTTGTGTTACCACTTGGATATGCTTTCCGAATAAAGTGGTAAACACAAGCAGGTAAAGGCCGAGTATTCTCCCATCCCATAGACCCACAAAACCATCGCATCAACCATCTGTATGCCACAGCTCTCAAGTACCTGAAGTAAATAAAAAGGTTGGACTAATTATTGTTGATGAAACAATGTTGATGATAACATTCTTTCTCATACAATTTACAATCTTACATATTTAATGATTGTGATGCTTGGCGGCGATAAGCACGTCCATTCCTATCTCTCAATAGTGGCCCGACGTTTTCAAGGACAGCCTCATGAACTAAAGGCCCAAATTTGGCATGCTGTGTTATGCATGATATTTTCTCAATGCTGCCATCGAATGTCATTTTCTGCAAAGCTGGTCCTATTTCCTTACAGCATCTGTACTCTAATGCGCCTTCTAACAAATCGGTATGACAGCATTGACAATTACACCTGAAACGTGGGAGCATTGTGGTTTATAAAGTAACTTTATGTATATTACAAACAGGAGAAAAGTAGTATAGTACATGGGGGTTCGAGAGCACAAAAAGTGCTCTCATATCCCCCATGTACAATACTACTTTTAACCGTGGGTAAAAACTATCTTTAACAAACAATTGTTTTCAAAGGGGGGTAAAAATTCCATATTTTTAAACGACAGATTGTAACCTCGAGATTTTTACCCCCCTTTGAAAACAATTGTTTGTTAAAGATAGTTTTTACCCACGGTTAAAAGTAGTATTGTACATGGGGGATATGAGAGCACTTTTTGTGCTCTCGAACCCCCATGTACTATACTACTAAGAAAACAACAACTTACCATTCACCGAGTGGAATTACGCCATCACTTCGTTGTTCTAAGGTCGCAGGGAGAATTCCATTGGGATCATCTGGAGTATGCACTTCATCACCATCTCCTGCGAGCGGTTCATCGTCATATGCGAAGTCGTTTAAATGCTCGACATAACCCACGGATTCCGAGCTCGAATCAGATACGCATTCAGACATCGAATTCGAATTATCTGAGCACTGATTTGAAGCCATACTTTCCGGACAACTTGTTTTTTAATATTTTATTGAAAATACTGTCATTATTTGTTTTAACACAAGAAAACGACAACAAAATCACCTCCTATAATATAATATAATATTGACGGAAACAGACGTGTTCAACTATCTACGTCACAAGTATCAATATGGCGTCGTAAAAAATTCGCAAAAAGTACCCGACTTTGGAGGCAAAATTAAGGAACTTATATTTATCTGTTTAAGTCCAGCGACATGTCATAGTTCTTCAAATAATCCAAATTTTCAATTAAGCTAATAAAAAAGAGGGGCTAAAATTCGTGATATAACCCCTTTAATAATGTCAGTTATAATGTATAATATAACACAGTCACACACTACATAACTTGACATGACAATTTACAACAAGATCTATGTCAACTTTCAACGACATTCTTTTGAAATTGTAAAAGCTAAACCTTTCGATAAAATGCAAGCTATGAAATGCAATTTCTAAAAAAAGACGCTTATGTAAAGCGATCATATATAGCACTTTCATTGCTTTCTATAGTATCAATAAAATGTTTTCTGATGTGCCTCAGTATTCTCCTTCTTTTCTTCACAGCCTATATGCCTTTTTTTTACTAATAATTTGATCTGTGCCCTGTCGTATTCTTTCGCTTCCTTAGTGTTGAATACCCCTGCAGTTCTATCTAACCCCCTCAGGGTTTAAAGTAAGAAAAATATCCTCATCATTGAATTTAGGGACAGCAAGATAAGTGATAACGGCTTCCTGCTCAACATATTTGGATTTGGGAAATCTGTCCCAAGTAAAGCCTGTTTAAGCATTCTTCATTTTGTATCATGCGATGAGTACATACCTTCAAAAGCTCATGTTTTCTAACAGCACAAAAAATGGGCTTGATAACCTCCACAATGCATACAGGAATGCCATTTCTGTGCTTGTAATTATCTTTATTTCTTTCATAACCACATTAACTGTGTTCTCCACCGGGCAATTATGATGCTGCGGATTCTCATCAGTTCAAGGTACATGATAAAGTGATGCTTCTATGGCCTTAACCATTTCATTGTTATCAAGAAGGTTTTCCCTCACTGAAAGCCCATAATATTTTGCGAAGTATCTAGTTTGCTTTTACATTTCATTTATCATCTTTTTCATGTTTCTTGAATAACCCTGTTGAAAGAATGCAGGGTTAGTCAGGACGAAAATATTTCAAAATATTTCTTAACTTTTAAACAATAAACATACCAAATTGACATCAAAAATTCTTATAGCAATTATTTTAAAAAAACTATCACCACGCACATTTTGGTTATTCGTTTTTTTTCACCCAGCCCGAAACATTACATTAGCAGTTATTAATGAAATTAATTGGCGTTCTTGAGATTGGTTTCTTTACGCAATAAGTACTGAATTTAGTACTTTTACTTTATGCTTGTACTGTTTTTATTTTTCCATAAAGAATTAACACACTTATGATTTTGTGTATGTAAGCTGTAAGAATGATTTCATAAGAAAAATACTGATTACGTTCCATTTCATATACAGCGTTCTTGTACATTGTTTTAACCCTAGTTAAATGTTTTAAATTTAAACGAATGTAAAATTTTAAGCGACTATGAGGAAAGACTTGTTAAATTGTACAAGAAATTTGCTTTAGTTAACAAAATAAGTATCGTCTTCTGTCTTCAGCACTTTCCGTCGATCCCGAACGTTTAGCTTTATCGTCTTCTGTCTTCAGCACTTTCTGTCGATCCCGAACGTTTAGCTTTATCGTCTTCTGTCTTCAGCACTTTCTGTCGATCCCGAACGTTTAGCTTTATCGTCTTCTGTCTTCAGCACTTTCTGTCGATCCCGAACGTTTAGCTTTATCGTCTTCTGTCTTCAGCACTTTCCGTCGATCCCGAACGTTTAGCTTTATCTTTAAATGCTAAAGCCTACATCAACGTGCCATTATCCATGCGAAAAAATTTAATAAATTGAAGATTGTCATAATGTTATCACACCCATACTCAAAGGAAATCGAAGAAAAGTGTTTTTGATGCTGCAAAACTAATTCTCGCTACATACCCGGCAATTTTTGTGTTGTTTTTTAATGATACCATGATAAGTAGTGCAGCAACGTAGCTAAGTTCTGAAAAAATAATGTGACCCGATTTTGCCAAAACTTTAAAAAATAATTTGTGCATTTACTTTCGAGTCTTACCCTGCTTCAATTCAGCAGGTTACCTATAGACCGAAATGCTTTTCGAACATTTGCGTTAAATTTTATGCAATGTTATAGAAATCTTTTGTTCGAAGATCACACTGTAAGAGATCTGAAAGCCATGTTGCATAATTAGTTACAGCTACTTCCACATCAATTTTAAGTTTCTTGACAGCTTTCAAAGCTCTCGTACAGTTTGGTAAAGTTGTGGATATTAAAACACAACAACAAACCATTTAGGCATGTGCATGTAAAATGTACGTAAATTTTGTTTAGTGTATAGTTATAGTTAACCGCAGGCCGTTGCGAAAGACAGGGTGTGCGGGCGTGGGACACACTCTAGTAATATTTTCGGCTAAATAAGGCTTGTTTAAACATGTACGTAAGCGTGAAAAAAAACCTAAATCTTATTTGTGTTGAATAACCATGTGGGTGTAGTTCCTTTCAGAAGACCACGCCGTATAACCACACCCATTTTGGAAAAATTTGATTTTCAACTCTTCGACACGGCCTTTCGTTAAGTCATACTCAAGCTTTCGTATTTCATAATTAATCTAAACTTTGGTTTCTCACTCTCAGGCGAAAACAAAATGCCTTTGTTTCTTTCTTTCGCTTATTTCTTATTTGAAATCAGAGTTATTCCTCTTTAGTTTAAGTGTGTTTTTTTTAATCTAAGAAAGTTTTATTGTTTTCATTTTGTTTTGAAATTTCATATTTTTTATAAATAATATGTGTTTGTCTATAGTGTTGAAGATATATCGAATGTAAATGTCATCATCTCTTACACTTGCATTGAAAGTTTCCAATAATGGAAAAGTGTAAATTTTCAATCTTTATTTTGTTTTAATTTTTTCGTGCAAGCGTGGATTCGATAAGCTGCGTGATTTTACACCTTTCGGCATTTGCTTTGTTGTGTACGAGTTTGATAAAGTAGGTCAGGTTAATATTTTTGTCAAGTAAAGTAATCTGTTTAATGGACGGTTAACCCCTTCAAAAAATAAAAATGTTTTAGACATTTGATACCGAAGCGAATCCACGTTTGAAGTCCAGCATTGTAACACTGTAGATAAAGTACTGTTTTCAAAAAATATATGTTAACAAAAATACATTTAATTGCTTGACTTGGATCGTGATCCAGCACTCTTTTCCTTAACATTTTGTCTTATGATGATTTTAATCATACACATGCAGCAACTAGTTATTGTTCGGAATTTGACATTTATCTGTTCTCATTGGATTACGCTCTCACACAACAATAACGAGCTACATACGATGGCCTTATTCATCTATAGAATGCAAGGCACTATTTGTCACTATCACGACATACAACGACCCTTTTCATGCTATCGTATGGCACGAACAACGGCCTATATATGACTAGGCGTCGACTTGATGTATTAAATCAGTGTAACGGTGGGATAGTTGTTCAAATGTGTTCAATTTTCTTGAACAAATTCATGTTCATGAATACTGGAAAATCAGCCAAGAGCTAGAAAAAGCGAAAAAATGATAAGAACAATAACATCATTTACAACTTTGGAAACAAAAGCAAGTAATGCACTGTCCCAAACTAAAAATACAATGTTTGTCAATTTATTTCATTGTGCTCATAAACAATACTGCAAAACATTAAGTTTCAAAAACGCAAGTTAAGCCATATTATAATATCAGCATGTATATATCAATCAATATACATATAGATTGATTATTATGAACGAACATTAAATCCTCAACGCTTTTTTGTAAATGATATATCATGATTATAATTTTATCGATGTGTTGAGGCTGTCTTTCATGAAAGTATAAAAATAAAGATTTTAGGCCACATCATATTTAGTAATGCCCTTCTGATTTCTTTTGAAAATGATTGGGCTTTGACAAAGTAACTGTTCATGGTCTTCTGAATTCTGTATACCATGCTTTGAATAGCGAATACCATACTTTGAATAGCAATGAAAAGAGTACCACATTCCAGTTGGCTCTTCTCATTTACATTCAAAGAAGTTTCAGAAAATGTTGTGCTTGGTCAACTTTGTCGTCTTTATACTATAGTAAGGCAATAGCATTTAATGATGTTCCACCTCTGCATAAAAAATGCCGAAACTTCTTTCAGTTTATGTTTCCATCTGCCAATCTCTTTTTATCTATAACCAAATTTATGACCTAAAATTGATGTTTTATAATGGCAAAAATGTGTGGCCACTACATAGAAAAATGTTAAAGAGATTTAAATCATTTTGACAACGCTATTGGCCGATACAACATACAATTTTACGTCTGTTGTGGGAAGGGTTTGAAATTTCAGATGCATGGTACCTCATTCACAATTTACAGTTTCCTATTTCAATGGAATTAGGAGAGAAACTTCCTCCATCTGTAAATGGTAATATTAGAATGGTTCAATAAGTCAACGGTAGGGATGAAAAATTTATATTTCATAGCAAAGTGTAAGTAAGTTTTAGAAGTAATGTGTAAGCAGCTTTGTGAAGTAGTATCATGCAGTAAATTTCCATTTTACAGTCAATTGCGTAGAAACGAATTGTAGGAAACTTTGGACATTGTCTTACTTGAAATGGTTCATTCATTTTGTATTTGGAAATTGAGATGGGTCACGTGATTATAATCCAAGCACAAAGGTCTGTAACTTACGAGCGGGAAGATTAAAATAATTATTACAGGAACGGCGCAACGAAAATGAGCCTGGGGGAGGGTCCGTATACGACTTATATTTACTAAAGTTACTGGGTCTTACTTTGCCTCAAGTTAAGCTAAAATAAATAAATGCTAACAACAGATCTTACAAGACTTTTTCATGATCGTTCCAAGATCTTACTATGATCCTACAAACTTCTTGCTAAGATCATGCATACACTTTCCATCATGCATGATCTTTCAAGACTTTGCGCATGTTATTGTTGTATGGCAAGAACTTTTTGAAATGTCGTTCATGTCGTTTTTTTGAAATGTGGTTCTTGTCGTCTCTATTAAATTTGAATATACTGGGGGGAATTGAGGTGAAATTATTGGTCGTATATCTACCATCAACAACCCACAAAAACCGGAAATTAACGAATCCAAACATAAAGGAAGACATAAAGTTAAACACAAAAGTATACATGAAGGTAGACAGAAAGGTGGGGGTCTCCCCACCCCTCCTTAGGCGCCATGCCTGTATTGCTGTTATTACTGGCACAGTTGAATGTTACTGCGTAGCTATTAGAGCTTACTTAGGCCTTTAGAAAACAGCAAAGATGAAACATAATTTTTTATTATTTTCCTAAATACAAGCAAGTCAAAGAGAATCAATATTGTTGTTACCTACATAATTTATTGTTTTGAATTTTGAAAAAGATTTTAAATCAAATTGCTCTCAATCGTTCGCTGGTAAAAACTCTATGCTTTCGCTTATTATAAAGTAACTGTGTATGTCAGTGAATACCCCACGTCAATTTTAGAATTACCAGTGATCTGAATCCGATGTCCTTTGTTAACACCGTTCAGGGAGCTCTGATTGCTTGTAGCCTGTAGCCTGATTGCTTGAATGTCCGTAGCTCTGACCATCTTGAGCCACTGACTGTGTTCATACAGTTACGCCACTATTCTGTGGTTATGCCGCTGGTAATGGTAATGATTGACAGGGTACTGGAAACAACATATCAAATTTCGGGACGTGTTTTGCATTAGTTACTAGGCCTCAATCGGAATCAGCCCATCCCTATCTCTCCTCATCATTATTGTAGGTTGTGGCTTGGTTAGTTGTCCTCACATGGGAAAACACAACAGTGTAGGTTACAAGAAATGGTACCGTGTCAAAGACTTTCAATGAAAACCAAGTCCACATCATTGCGAGAAGCGATGGGCTCCTTTTGAAAGCAACACATGAGGTAAATTCATCAAAATGTATCGAGCACATGGTAAGGCAAAAGGCCAAAGCAGATGTTAATTCGAAGGAATGTTAGAAAACGACAATGCTTGACGATAACTGCTTATAGACCCGGAGCTATATTAATTTTTAATCGTTATAAACAGAAAGAGACGAAGGCGATTATGCGAGTATCCAAGCCATTTGGAAAAGTAAATACTCGCGTTCATCACAAGATGGCGCCCTAAATATCTCAATTACTCTATAATTGTATGTTTCAAAGTGTGTGTTTGACTTTATATAGCAAGAAAACTTTAGGAAAGTTTTGACTTTTCTTACTAATAAGCAAATTACCATGGAGAACAAATTCTATCATCTGGAACTACTGCAAAGGAAAATCGGATCACGACATGTAGCTATGCGATTAACGGTAATTAGCCTCAAAGAAAAAACACCCGAAAGTCAACATTGAGAAAAGAGAGTTCGTCAGCTCAGAACAAAATAACTTCTCTAACTGGTGTATCTGCTGTGAAAAATGAAAATTTAGAGATTGCGAAGAGCTGTCTTGGTGATTACTGATTGGTGACTGATGACCTGATTAAAATACAATGTCTAGGTAAGACTAAAAAGAATAGAATTATTTTAATTATTCATTGTGTTCATGAACTGTGTATTTCATGCAGTATATTTTGAAAGAAAATGATATTCGATTGTAATTGCTTTTAGTGTAGTTAAGTAGTACATATGTGACACAAAAACCTGTCACAATATTCGTAATTTTGGTGTTTCAATAGTTTTGAAAGTGGCAAGCAAATTAAGGAAAGTAGGCGGCATGTGTGTGACAAAATTTACACTGTAATTCTATTGTTATTCTCAGCTTTAGGCATAAACAATAATTAAGACCTTACAATTATTTATTGTGCCCAAAGGTAACTTTATCCAAAAGCAAATGCTTTTAAACGTTTTCACTATTCTTTTCTGAGATATAAAAGCAAATGTGTATGACACACAAAACTTAATGTTTCCTAGGGCCTTTTTGACCAGTGCCACACTTGGTGAACATTGATAAGGCAAAGTAGTGAAAAATACATGAAATGGTAAATAATAGACATATTAGCATACATGCAGGTAGCATAAAAGTGTTACTGTGCAGGTGCAGTTTCTGAGAATTGCCCATTATGGTAATATTAAAAGCATTTTGCAACAATTGCCAGTTGCCGGCCTTTTATGGAACTCCAAGGCTGTTGTAATTTGTCATGTGTTTTTAAAGTTGTACTTGAAAGCCCACTGTATATAATATCTTGATTGTGGTCCAATACTGTTATTTTTTTTGCAATAAATTTGTTTGCAAATTGAAATTAAAATTTGTACAATTGATTTAAAAGCCATGTAAGGGTCCTTACTGAAAAATTTTCCTTGGCCTTCATCCTGTAGTGGCTTTTGAGACCTAAAATATTTTTTTTAAACAGACCTCCCAAGTGGTAGATAACATATCAATGTTTTTTTAATATTTATTTGAACTTATGGAATTGATTTGAACAAAATTGAAGTCTATCTGTTTATGTGCACAGCAAATTTTTCATGTTCTTCATAAAATTTGTTATTTTCATGTTGTTCAGAGTGTAATGTTTGAAGACAGAAAAAGCTGATTTAGTCTAAGAAGGAAATGCACATTTAAATTAAAAATTGCTGGAAAAAGCTTGTGGACGAATTCGACTTTAGCAACCTGTTTGTTTGGCAATGACCAAATATAACACACCACACCAACTAAACGGTTATCTTGAACTACCTCCCTTGCTTCACAAATCTAGTTTAGAATGTCATTAACATATATATAACATTGGCGTTTAGTAGGAGTAGTCTAATTCAAACACTTTTAAAGTAAATTGGAAGTAGAGTAAATCATTTCCATAGCTGCAAGGACATTATTCAAAGAAAGTTTGAACGGCAATTCCACAAGGTAACAATATTTGCTAGACAAAGGATTTAATTAAAATGAGTGAACACTTTCTGAATAATCCACAAGAAAATGAAGAATAATTATTCGTTTAACTTATGCACACAATATTAAATTAGAAATTTCTTTTTTACTGATCCAATTCCTTCATAGCCCTCATTAACAATAATCAAGCGATATAGAAACAAGAACTTGTAAAATTTTGTCAATTTGCTACATGGACTGATTTTCTGTATAATTGATGTTAAGGTGAGAAAGTATGGTTTAGATTTTAGAAATGTCAGGTGTGAGTATGAGAGTTGTAAAGAAACTATCCCAGTACATTTCATGCAGACATTTCAAACATTGCCAAGAAATGTATTATCTTATTTAGTACTTATTACATTGCTGCATTATCATCCAAATATTTTCATGTTTGATTAACAGCTTAGCCATTGTGGTAGCAGTTACATTCCCAGGTTGTCATGAAGAAGAGTAGAATGTGAACTTCAGTATTTTGACCATATCAAACTCATTGATGATAATCACACCAGTTTCAAGTAAGTTCTTTCAAAACGAAGAAACAAGCAAACACGTTAATTATGAAGAGTTGCGAAGACAAAATAGAATAAATAATTGGTGAGTGGTTAGTAGAAATAATATATCTAGCTTTGTGCTTGAGGCATGATGATCATCTAATAAAGTTTGTTTCTCCATTTGGTCTTTTTATGTAATAAATGTTTTGGTAATCATCAAGAATGTATTACATACGAAAGCTTTATTATTGGTATGTGCCTATTTTGCAGAAAAAATGATTGATATCATCGTCAGAGAACGATAGCAGCTTTCCAAAATGAAATGGCAGATCTTTCCGGGGTTTCTTCAGATGTCATTATTTAGAGATGTTTGGTACCCCCTGGCTATATTATTAACCGTCGTTACGTGGAGTGGCATTGCCATGCTGCACAAGAATTTATCTACGTCATATTTTCCTTGAATTGTTTTGTTCTCAAGACCTATTTGAGATTTGATGATGAATAATTTCATTTGTCTTCATGCATCATTCGACAAAACTGGTTGTATGCCATTAATGCGGGCGGAAGAAGTAACAACTGGAAAACAAGCAATTTAACTGGTGTTAAAAGATCTTTAGCATTTTTTATGGTCGTGAGTTAATCCCCGTACATATTCATGCAAGGTATTACTGCTAATTTTAAATTTTCCAGTGGCTTTTTATTTTCTAATTGTATTATTCCTGTTTTGTATTTCATAGGATTAGTATCTGATCCTGCTCAATAGTCTATTCCATTAGCTACGTACGTCGAAGTTGCGCGGAACCACAAATATAGAAACAACTATTTACTGATGATGTTTTATCATATGATTTTTAGTTAATGGGAATAACTCAAACCACTTTATTGTGGTTGGCTTATTTCTTTAAATGATGAATATGATAGAACGGCAAGTAATATCAGTTGTGTGAGAAGCATAAAGAAAATAATGGACTGCGATTTATTGAGTTCGATAGATCAGTTGAAGAAGGTTTGTCAGATGCCCACAACATACATTTCTCTCTCTTCATTAATTTATTTGAACTACATCTATTTGAATTATCCATTTTAGAAACGTTTGTTGGGAAATAGAGGCATAAAATCTTTCCGCCTATTCACAATATTTTAGAAATTAGAAAAATTAGGAAGCTGGAGAAAAAACTAAGAAGGTAATGAGGCACTTTGTGGAATTTTAAAATTTTCGTTGAGTTTTTAGTTCATGCTTGCTCAAGAGGTATCCTACTCGTATATTGAGCTATGGTTAGGCAGTTGGCTCTTTTCTTTTTCGGTGCGATTATGAGCTTCCTATAATGTTGCATTAAATTTTGTAGAATGCAAAAGTGGAAATGGGGAATATTTCAAAACGTATCTTGGTCGTGCAGAACTTCTCGCTGGCTGACAGGGAAGGTAGGATTCGAAGTTAGATGCACCTGTTATATATTTTCCCTTTCTATGGTTTTGAGAAAGCGGGTCAATTTATTCTTTCGTCATTTGTTGTTATCGTCGTGTATTTAGTATTGTTGTAAATACACAACAAAGATTGCCGAAGGTAGCGAGAATTAACTTTGCTGTTTTTCCGGTTTATGGGTGATTGTTCGTAGCTAAGTAGCTATAATTGTTAAAACATGGTTTGACCATGTTTTGATTTGAAATTTCGATGAAGTATTTGTATTTCAAACATTTCCAAGCTAGATTCTAAGAAACAAAGTTTGTTTTTTGTGTCCAATATTTATGCATGCTTATTAAATTAAAAATCACTCCAACAACGGTTGGTGATCGGCTCTTTTTTGAGTTTCAATCAAAAGTTCATCGTCAGAATCGTTCACTGCATAAAGGAATTGACCGAAATTGAATTTGACAAAAAAAAAGTTTACAACCGTAGAGCTCTAACGTCGATGTTTCATTTCACGATCCAAGCTGTAGATTTAAATAATAAAAGCAAAGCTTGCGGAGCAACTGAAAGTGCTGAAGTGTGATAAGACTATTTTAATATGTCTGCTTATAAACTGCTTATCTGTCAAAGATGACGATGTGCGCTCCGATTAGCGAAACTCGTTCCTCAACACTTTAATTTGAGTTTTTGTTTCTTTATCTTCCTTTGTATTGGTAAACGTTGGTATTTTTCTTAGAATTGCAATTAATATTTCAAACTTTATTTTTGAATCGTATACTAAGAAATCCAGCTTCTAGAGCTAAAACTTGTCATTTATACAACATTTATTAATTGTTTTTGATGAGACATATTAGAAAACCGTGATTCGTCATTAGCCATAAAACACTTTTGTAGCTTTTCCCGTCATATCTTAGCGTAACCTCGAGCAAAGTGGGACACTTTTTCATTCATTACAATGTAGCCGCACAACGAAAAACATTGTTAAGACCAAATTCGGCCGAAACAATCCTTGTCATCTGACAATTATTTGGTAGTAATTTTAAAAACAAAGTCCATCTTAAGGTCATGCTTTGATCATTCAAGTGTGTGATCCTTAGGTGTCTCACTTTGTTACCAATTGGAAATTAAACGAGACTTACCTTAAATCGAAGTTTAAATAAAATTCTATTAGTCATTAGCGAGGAGTGCAGGAACTGTAGGAGAGAGAGTACTGCACATGAATTGACCAGTATTTAGAGCACGAGTATGGGTACAATGGTTAGAGTGGAGGAGAGGGGATCGGAAAAAAATATGGGTGGGCCTACGCTTGTATGACAGCTCTAAAATTTACATGCACTAATAAGGTAACGGCATCAAAGAGCGTAGTCGTAATGGCGCGAAAGTCCGGCAAGACTTTGTCTCCCAGCATTTTAATTGGTCATTGACAGTAACTGAGAGAGAACTTGTCACACACACATTAGAATCTTGTAGAACTGCGGTGCGCAAATCTCGCTGACGATGGGAATTTTTAAGGCTTGACCATATAAGCTCATTGAGTTTGGGCACAGTAAGTTTGTCGCAATTTTGCGGTGGCTTTTCAATTATTTTTCTGCGCTCCTCAAGCCCAATATTTGAAGGAAATTTTTCATTTGTAATCTAAGCTACTTTTACATTCAAATCTGAGCATCTTTACTGTCAATGTTGTGCATCAAACATGACGCCATCGGTACACAGTTTTCTGAATGAATGAAATAAGAACCACTATATAAAATTGCTGCTTTCGTATGACAGTTTATACCTCAAACATATATTTAAACTTTATATAATAGCACACAGTAAGGTATAAACGCAGCCATGAATTACAAACTTACATCAAAAATTAACGAAAAGCAATATCTACACCTGCGTCCGATACACTACATGAATGAAGTGTAAACATCAATGACATGAAACGCAACCTGACATTAAAATATCTTTAAAGACATACAAACCCACAAATTTTGCACTTGAATTTTCCCCATGACTCCATCAACGGGGACAGATGAACAGTGTGCCCACATTTAGCCGTGATATAGAAATCACGACAGCGATTACATTTTTCTGAAAATTAGGAGATAGATTCTGTTGAAGATAAAAAAACATTCGCTAATTTGAAATGAAACAGAAAGAACTCGCACTTACTAATTTCGTTTGATGCTGACTCCTGCGATGCCATTCTGCCAGACTTTGCGATTTGTGTGTCTTGATTTTTTGCAGAGTTTTTATCGTCTTAACACATACAAAACACTTTTAGTATTTCAAGTGGTTGAAGTACACAGCGCATGCGCTTGAGATGTGACCTTCGCATTCTTGTACAAGTATTCGGTATTTTTATTTTGCAGATCTTCGCGCCTGGAAAGTTGTACCCATTCTTTCGATCTATAGACGTTTTGCGTTATACATTATACAATGAGACGTTATAACGGACGAAATTTACATGTAGATTCTTTATTAGTTGATTGAAAGCTTAGTTTAGAAACTCACCTTACGCCGTCTTTAGGAAAACGGGAAAAACTCAATTGTGGATGAGATGCTTTGCTGTTAGAACAGTTCATAGCAGAACAAAATGTTCTGCTTGCCCCCTTTTAATTTTACCTTTTCACTCATGACCACAATATTAATTCGAAAACAGTTAAAAATGGCTTTGGAAAAAGTACAACTTTATAATCTCGAATCAAAAAGTTGCAGTAGAGACGCACACGTGAGAAAGATCCACAGCAAACCCAATATACAATGCTTTGGGTGATTTGAGAATTGAATAACATTGGAAACTTATTTTGATAAAGACATTTCTGAGTGAAAAATATGTACAAAATAACAGCAATATAATAAATATTATATTTTCTTAATGGTTACAGGCTAGAAAAATGGCCTGCTTCAAACTGTTCATAAACTGCTGGATGCGTTTCGGGTAATTTTTGCATATTGACTAAGTAATATGTCAGGAAACGTGCATAATTTGGACGGTCGTAGCCAAATAGCCAAGGGAGCATGTTTTCCGTAGACTGCAGATGCATTTTCCAATCACCGAGTTTGATAGATCGCGTGAAATCGAGCAATATTTGTACCATTTGCAAAAATGATGACCAAACTGAAGCTGTTGGACCAAGTGATCCTTTTAAAAGATCTCTTTAACAATCTTACTTGTGTATGTTATCAATAGTCTCTTTATGAACTTCACTGAGTGTAGACAACGATTCATTTGTGTGAGATGACATAAAAGTTCGCATTTCCACGGAGTTAACTAATTCATCGTACCTTCGAGATTTTTCAGGTTGATCATCGAGCCATTCTATAAAACTGTCAAGCATGAGCCTCTTGACCGCGTCGTAAAGATACTTCAGTGCTCTCATTGCATTGTTGAAATGTTTACCTTTGAGCATTTGATCAACAGACGATTCGCCAAGTATGTTTGATTCGATTATAATATCGCGAAGACCAGCATCTGCAAATCTCTTTCCAATGACAGAGATAAAATACACATAGCATGGAAACCACCAAGACGCAGGACAATGAACTTTTTAAGATCAATACGTTTAGGATTCATCATGATTTCAACTGCTTTAGAGTAGATCGCCATGTCGAGAACGACATCCGTTTCATTTAAACCAAGTTTTTGTGCTTTAAGTTTCGATTGAGTTAGCAGCTCTAAAACAGTATCACGAGAAGTCGTAGATTGGTTGATAGATGGCAGGTATCCAATTTTGTCATAATTATTGCTGTCATTCTCACACACCATAAAGTTAAATCCTGTCCAATTAGGTGTTTTCTGTTCGAAATTCTTCTTACTTGCTTGACTTCTAGCAATGACCCATATAGTATCAATCACGTGCGAGCGTTGGACTTCCTCTTGGTATAAATCAAGATTAACTGTAATACTTTCCTCTGTATTCTTTCGCTTTACCTTTACATAAGATGGTATCTCGTTAGGTAGCGCATGAAACTTCTTACGTTTGGTAGTTGTCTTTGAGACTAATGACACAGCTGTAAAAGATGGCTCGGGCGTATTAAAGAAAACGTTAGAGGATTGTATCACAATACCATTAGTGCAGTGCAAGCTAAGTCCTTTGAGACTCTCGGGATTAATGTCGTTATCCCACACAAACGTTACAAATCGAAATGGTTGTATTATAGATGGAGTAAAGGATCTATGGATCTGATTCTTGGCATGTTCCATCGCTAAATTTGTCTCGATCATCAGGACATCGTCGTATGATACTCCGTGACCAAACTTGTTTATCCAATTTATTTCATCCTTGGAACCGGTTTTCGTTTTAATTGTAAAAGGAAAACAGATATGTTTTGATGTTTTCTTGGTCCCGTTATTAGCGTGGTATATCAAATCTTGGCCAATAGAAGAAATCAAACGCGAAACTTTTGCAGACTTTTTATGCTTTTTCCTAAGTATTTCCTCCAAAAGGCATGTTGTTAAGAATGGAACACTCGTGTATTTTGAAAGGAGCTCACTCTTCGATGGTGGCCAACTGCTGAATGTGCTGGTACTTTCCAACAATTCCTTACGTATTTCACGCCCAACTTCTTTTGTTTTCTCTTCTAATGTCATTTCCCATCGACTGTTACCAAGTTTTGCCCTGACTGCTACTTCGATCAACTGCCCCTTTTCAATGCTGTTGTTATATACATAATCGCTACCATACTTCGGAGACCAGAATCCAACTTTTGAGCCGAAAAATTTACGAACATTTTCTTTCAGTCGATGAGGTGCTGGCGAACCAATCTTGTAGTTTTCTCCAAACGAACGAATTTTGATTTCCGAATGCATTCTCAGTAAATCGCACATCCGAAAAACTTCGCAACCTGTGATCACCCTGTTTTCGATAACAGTGCAAAGCTCGTTAAAGATTTTCTCACTATCGCTTGGAAGTACATTCTTTACATCCCGTTTTCTGCTTATCATTCTGTAACATGTCCTATGGTAGAAGAATTCTTTTGCAAGTATTACCTGCCATTCGCACTTACCAACCATGGCCTGCAAATGAGGGTAATTCAACGAGAAGGAAGCTTCTTGTAAAGTTCGTGCTCCATTTTCTGTTTCACATTTTTGTAAGTTCTCATATCCGCTTCCACTTCTTGCTGTTTTGTTTTTACCACATACACAGCATTCATAGTCTGCTAGTATTTTTCCTAAGTAACAATATAAATATCATGAAATAATGTTCCCTTGTACAAATATAACTATGGCATGATAAAAGTAATTTTTCAGTTGTGTATATCATCAATGAAGTTTCTGGAAATTATTACCATTATTTTTTGAAAGTTTTTGCTTCATACCTTTCCGATTTTTCCGTTTCGATGTAGCACGAAGACTCTTCACTTCATTGATGTTTGATGTAGCCGATTCTGACACGCTCAATTTTCTTAGGGCTTTACCATGCGTATAGCTTTGATAGCATTTTCTGTGGTATCCTTTTTCTGCTGAAGGCAAATCATCTCGAAAGGAGTCCATGATCGAAATAACTTTTTGGTCATTACGAATTTTCGCCGCGTTGTACACTACACTGACTTTATGGATGTTTCGCTAAACTTTGTTATTGGTTCAGCACTTTTTTCGGTACAGTTTAAGATACAATTACTTATTTCAGCCGTCTTTGGCTTTTTCGGAGGTGAAATATTCACATTGACTTCAAAAGATATTTTTTTTGGCTTTTTTTTTACTCACCGCTACCCAAAAGACTGTTGGCTCAATTCCTCCCGCAAAATTTTCAAAACAATGGATTACTTTCATTTCGGCGCTCTTTTAAGCTGGCACCATATTTGAATAAGAATGAGACGACGCGTACTCAATTGACGGCCGCACGCCAATTCAGTCAAATAAACAGGGAGAAATCGCACGTATCTATTATAGGTATAGAGATGAGATTGAACAGCAAGTTCAAAAGGCAAAGTAATTAGGCACAAACAGTTCAATGCATAATTTCGAGTTGTAATCTACGCACTCGTAACATTGTTCATGATTGAGAGAGATAAGCAAACATGTAGTTTGAAATATAGCATACTACAAACTATATATAACGTGTATATATAATACATACGTAAAATGTACAAGTTCGAGGTTCGGCGTTTGAATGGTACAAAGAACGACACGCAATATTCATTTACGCTATGTGCTTCAAGCGGTCGTAAACACAGTTTAGAAGCCGAAATATGAAGTACGTCGAATTTAGTTGGAAATTTGGTCCGCGATACAATGACCGTAACTTTTACCTTTGCAAAGATGCGCTAATTTGAGCCCGAATACACACGCGCATGGGAAGACTGCATGTTGCGGTAAGATCATGGCAGACCCCAACAATTCACACAACAGTTTATCATTGAAAATTTAACTAGTGTGATTAATCGACTTACAACACGGACGTTAAAATTCCTTGTGCCCTTGTTAAATTTAACTGTAAACATAAAACAGACAGTAATGGTAACCGTAATATTTTCACTATTTGATATATATGTATAAATAGTAAAAAAGCTGGTAAAAAGGAGACGAATTAGCTGTTTCCTTATACATAAAAATGGCGAACATATAAAAATCGATCCAACAAAAATAATTGCAACTGCAATGGCGTTGGTCAAAATTTCTTTACATCCCGAAAGATCTTTACTTTCCTAGAATCCTCCAAATCTTAGTGTATGAGTTAATTGACGTTCTAAATTTGTTCACACGGAGAAAAACATTAGTTAAAGTACACTCGGTTAATATTGAAAGCTCATAAAACTGGCTCAAAGACCAGTGTTCTCTACGAAATCTCACGATGTTCAAAGAATTCAAAACAAGACCAATATAACCGTACAATTGAACCATTAAATTTATACACCAGCTCATACGTTACAACGCCACAAAAAAAACATTTATATAAGAATTTCGTTCACGAATCTTCCAAATATTTTTCACTTACAATGGATAAGAACGAAACTTGAAAAATGAATATTTCAAGCACATGGTTTAAGATTTGGTATACGAGCCACACACGCTCATCTTAGACAAAGGTTAACTGAGATACATGTTGCAGTATTAACAGTCAACTAGACATGAAAAAAAGGTCCAGAGCACATGCAAAATTGTCAACTAAAACAGCCTGCCCGGTGCCCATATTTACATGCTCGCTTGAATTCAATGAGGGAACGAGGGAAATTAAATTATCAGCATGCAGTTACAGCAAGATAAAGCAAGACTAAGGACTGACTGTTGCAAATTGCAATCCTTGTTTATGATATTTGCATAAAGTTTCGAGAAAACAAACGGATTGCCATAATCTCCAGTAAACATTCTAGAAAAACTAAGAGGCTTTATTAGCCTCGTTTGCTAATATTTGTCTCAAAAGCTGGAAAAATCATGTAGTTAGTTGTGTAAATAAACCACTTACTAAGACAGTCTTGTGTTCTATACTTCGACATATAACCTTAAAGCTCCTTGAAAATAGGCACAAAGTACAGGATGTGTTTGATAGCTACATCAAATGTGAAAAGAGTGTTGCGTCATTATTTTACAACAAAGCTGTTTTAATGTTTTTAATGTAGAGTAATAAAGTAAAGTAGTGAAACATTTCATGCATTTCTTATGATGGTAGCTAACAAAACCTCCCTCCAGGGCACTGCACCCAGCCATTGTACGTCGAATGTGAAATTTGCATATTTAAGTTCACGCGAGTCTAAAAGACGAGAAGTGTTGGTGTTATCAATGTTTCTTTGACGTCGTCTGTCTTTCATTGCAGAGCAATAAGCATACCACTTTAAAGTGAGAAGAACGCTCTCGTTCTTAACCATTTAATGCTTCTTGTGCTAGAAACTCAACATATTCATATTTCTATTATTCTATACACCCCCAAGATAAAATGAGGAGCGTTTGCCTGCGCCTTTAAAAGCGACATAAAATTATTTAATCATAGTAACAGCTATTTTCAAGTAACTGTTCTACTACACGAGCAATGATCCCATTTTTAGCGGTCAGAAGTTGCTGCACTCAAAAAACAAACAGAAGTCTCACTCTGCTATGAATTTTGTGAGATGCATATTTTACAACGCATGTTATCAGTGGCGGGTTCTAGGCTAAGTCAAAATAAATTACTGCAGCACATTTTGGCATGTATTTACAATTCTTAAGGAGCTATATTTTTTTTGACTAACGCTGTACCGCGATTGCATGTTATTTTAACACAACGTAAAATCACTGGACGATTTGATTGTTCAGGTTGATAAAGTCCTAAGGACTGTTGGTGTTTACTCTATCGCATAATTAAAACTTTTCTTGAACACATTAGGTATTTATAAACTATTCTAGTTATAGCAGTAACGGTTATACCTGACGTAATGCACATATGCTTTGAAATGACGTAATGCGCGTGCTTTCGAATGACGTAAGTACAGCAAGCGTAACCCACGTTCGTGCTTACACAATACAAAAGGAAAATGAAATTTGATAGTTTCAAGTAATTGATCAATTACCTAAAAATACTTCCTGACGCATGTAACAATTCAAGAGTCAATTTCATTTTTACAAGTCAGCACATTTTTATGCAAAAAATACCAATTGCAGACTTCATGTTAGCGGAACGTAACTTGGCAAGCATTGTAATGAAATTCGTAGGCCGAAGACGGCAGACGTTTGTAATCATAAGTATGTAACGTATCTGGTTTAAATTGACACAACATAAACGTTGCAGTAAAGTTGAGGGTTTGTAAACATTGCTTCAACTCTATGCCGTAGAGAAAGAGATGTGTGAAGTTCACAGAAACTCTTCATTTTTATGTATAGACACTTTATTGTATACTCTCTGACAGAACAACGCGATATAACATGACGTTCTTTTTGGTCAGCGCTTCAATATGCTACAATATCCGTCAACATGCCATTAGCATGATTTGGGTTTAATGAGTGTTTGTTTTGATTGAATTCAAAGTACAGCTTAATGTTGCAAACATAGTCTGTGCCACAACCTTGCAGATTCGTGGTAGTTAATAAAAATTGAAAATTTTGATCGTAAAAGTGATCATCAAAAACGACATTAAAAATTCCACGCAACATGCAGCACTTTTAATGTCCTTTTACCATTCAAGGCCATGCTCTCTCTCAGTCGACACCTTCCTTTTCTCTTACATACTGTCTCATTGATTAAGGACAGAGCCCATTTACTGCTAGGATTTTCTTTTCTTCTTTTCTTAAACAGCTCTCACAACTGATCAAAACTCTTCCTCCCTTCTTTCTGGCTGCATACACACTCTGGAAATATCGTTTCTTGGGTGTATCTCATTATTCATTGTTATTCATTATTCATTATTATTGTTGTCATTATTCATTATTCCTTTTCTCTTACATACTGTCTCATTGATTAAGGACAGAGCCCATTTACTGCTAGGATTTTCTTTTCTTCTTTTCTTAAACAGCTCTCACAACTGATCAAAACTCTTCCTCCCTTCTTTCTGGCTGCATACACACTCTGGAAATATCGTTTCTTGGGTGTATCTCATTATTCATTGTTATTCATTATTCATTATTATTATTATACTCTCTCAGTCGACACCTTCCTTTTCTCTTACATACTGTCTCATTGATTAAGGACAGAGCCCATTTACTGCTAGGATTTTCTTTTCTTAAACAGCTCTCACAACTGATCTAAACTCTTCCTCCCTTCTTTCTGGCTGCATACACACTCTGGAAATATCGTTTGTTGGGTGTATCTCATTATTCATTGTTATTCATTATTCATTATTATTGTTGTCATTATTCATTATTCCTTTTCTCTTACATACTGTCTCATTGATTAAGGACAGAGCCCATTTACTGCTAGGATTCTTTTCTTAAACAGCTCTCACAACTGATCAAAACTCTCTTCTTTCTGGCTGCATACACACTCTGGAAATATCGTTTCTTGTCATTATTCTTCATTATTCATTATTATGTCATTATTCATTATTCCTTTTCTCTTACATACTGTCTCATTGATTAAGCCCATTTACTGCTAGGATTTTCTTCTTTTCTTAAACAGCTCTCACAACTGATCAAAACTCTTCCTCCCTTCTTTCTGGCTGCACACTCTGGAAATATCGTTTCTTGTGTATCTCATTATTCATTGTTATTCATTATTCATTATTATTTTGTCATTATTCATTATTCCTTTTCTCATTGATTGATTGACAGAGCCCATTTACTGCTAGGATTTTCTTCTTTTCTTAAACAGCTCTCACAACTGATCTAAACTCTTCCTCCCTTCTTTCTGGCTGCATACACTCTGAAATATCGTTTGTTGGGTGTATCTCATTATTCATTGTTATTCATTATTCATTATTATTCATTATTCATTATTCTTTTCTCTTACATACTGTCTCATTGATTAAGGACAGAGCCCATTTAGGATTTTCTTTTCTTCTTTTCTTAAACAGCTCTCACAACTGATCAAAACTCTTCCTCCCTTCTTTCTGGCTGCATACACACTCTGGAAATATCGTTTCTTGGGTGTATCTCATTATTCATTGTCATAATCTTTCTCGGCTTCCAATCAATTTCCATAAGCTCGTTTTTCGTCAATTAATCATCTCAGCAACATACCTCATTAATTAAGGACACAGCCATTTACTGCTTTGATTTCGTTATCACCAACTAGTTCACTTATTCACAATCAGTTTGAGCCTCTAATGCAACTACTATGCACGGTACAACTCTTTAATCTCCTTCTCTTCGTAGTTCCTACTCTGATTATTATTATTAAATTTTGACTTTATAAATATTATAGCACAAAAACAAACTTCGAATCATGACAATTTATATATTTTTGCATGCTTAAATGAATACAAATGTATGTATGAATAATCGAAAGGGTCAATTGCAAATTCCCATAATTTGATTTGGATAATGGTTTATCGTCGTAAGAAAACAAAAAAACTCAATACAATTTTCATTTTATTACTGCGATTGAAACGTTGCTTTTCCCCAGCTACGAAATGCTTGAATATGTATGAATGAAATTTTTAAAACAATAATGCTCTTGAACGATATTTTTTCATACAAGTGTCGAGTAGTATCCGAGTATTTTTGGCATTGTTTCTACTTGGCATTACTGTGTTACAATATTTTCAATAACGAGTCACTTCAAATTCAAAACACTCACATTACATATGAATGATCATGAACTATTACAACGCCAGTGATATATTTAAGGGTTGAAAATAGAGATCAGAACATGCATAGGTTCGCATGTTACGGCCCGTTGTTAGTTCCAAGAGTACATTCGAATGTAAACATACAGAAAAAATTCCTCTGAACATAGCATAAACCTTCATTCAAACTCTTTTTTAACAAGTAAAGTTAAAGCTAAGTTTTTCAAAACAGCAATTTTACTTAGGCTTTTTTAATCGAGAACGTTAGACAAACCCCTTTATAAGCGGCTGTTTTACAAAGAACTGGACTTCCAAAACCACAGGAAGTAATTGACGTTGAGCAGAAAGACTCGTTGTTTACAATGGAGTCATAAAAAGCAAATCGCTGTCTGAAAACAGAAGATCCTGTCCAAGCACAAATAAGACCCCGTCCACACGTATTGCGGATAGGCCTTTCGTCCACACGCATCCGAATATTTCAGAGAGTTATCCGGAAACTTTTGAATCCGCTCTCTAGAGTGAAAATTTTTGTATCCGCAAACAATTTGGATGCGTGTGGACGGTAAATCCGGATATTTTTGTAACCAGAATTGCCTAGCAACTGTTATAGCGCAAATTTTCAACATGGTGGCCACTAATACAGTTACCATTGCTCTTTTACTTGGACTTATTTCCAGTCTTGTAACGTGTGTTCAGTTGACCTTAGCAATTTTTTCTGTACACTTCAACTATTGCAAACGCAAGCTTGATATCCTCAGGCTTATTTCCATGTCTGATGCACGGATCAGACGCTATAAACAAGTAAAACGAGCAGGAAAACAATTTCGTCGTCGAAGATTTTGGGTCCGACCAGGACGTACAAGCGCTTGGTGGGACAATTTTGTCAGGCAAACTGTGATAGAAGAAGAATGGCGTGAAAATTTTCGCATGAGTCGACGTTCTCTCCACGAATTAGCTGACGAACTTAGACCATACATAGAAGGCAAGACAACAATAATGCATTTCCCAGTAGATGTGGTTAAGCAGGTAGCGGTCACATTCTATTACTTAAGTGACGAGGGACGTATGCGAAAAACAGCGAATGCCTTTGGATTATCGCGTCAAGTTGTATCCAAAATAATTCGTAAGGTGTGTAAAGCTATCACGATTCGACTTGGACCTAAATATATTAAACTGCCATTCACAAAAGAAGATGTTGAGAGGCATATCAGGAACTTCCACAGATTGCACGGCTTTCCTCAATGTTTGGGCGCAATTGACGGTACGCATATCGAAATTAGGCAACCAGCATGTAATTCCACAGATTTCATAAATAGAAAAGGACGGTATACATTAAATGTTCAAGCTGCATGTGACTATAAGTATTGCTTTATGGACGTCGTCGTCAAGTGGCCGGGGAGTGTTCACGATGCCCGAGTATTTTCCAACTCAAAGTTAAATTATTTTCTTAAGAGTAGGGAAATACCTCCATGCCCACGACAAATACTTTCAGATGAGAATCCCATTCCAGTATTCCTGTTAGGAGATCCAGCCTATCCCCTTATGCCATACCTCATGAAGGAATACTCAAATGGAGGTTCAACAGTTCAGGAGCAATATTTTGGTATGACCCTTTGCCAATCAAGAATGGTGATTGAATGCGCATTTGGTCGTCTAAAAGCAAGGTTTGGGGCTTTGAAGAGGGCAATGGACATAAACATTAAAGATATCTCTACTGTTGTCTATGCATGTTTTGTCCTTCACAACTTTTGTGAAGTTCACAAAGAGATTATTGGAGAAGACAAAGTTTGTTCAGCTATTGATTATGATAGCCACTTTCAGCCAGCACCTAGTCACAACAACTACAGAACAGATTGTAATGAAGCTGAAGGAAAGAAAACAAGGAGAGTTCTCACAAATTATTTTGACCCTTAAAATTATACAGTGTTCACTCAGCCAGATTACATGATGTGCTATCTCTTGTAACTTGAAGCAAAATTCTACATGTTAATAAGAGAAAGAGTTAAGTTGATGAATATGCATTAGTATAAATTCATTAGCACAATGCAAAAAACTGCTTTTTAGCTGATTTTACATTACTCAATTAAAAGCAAATTAATGTTTCAAGTTGCATCAAAAATAGCATCATGTTGCAGGCCTTTATGTAGCTAATAACTTTCGTTGTTTTGTCAACTTTTACTGTAATTTTTCTGTTTGAATTGTTTCATCAACACTTAGAGTGAGAAACTTACCATAAACTTCTGGTTGAATTTGCTCCATAAATGTACAGTTAATTATATCATCAGAGTGCATGCAAAATACTAGTAACAATTCAATATACCAGCAATAATTAAATATACCAATAATATTTTATAACCTTATATATCATTTACAGTATGCATCATCTTTAATAAGATGTATTATAAACTTTGAACAAAACCAACAATATTTTCAATGTCATAAATCTCAAGAAATTAATAATATCTAATATATAACATATCTCCTTACTACAGCTTAAAAACTACTCTCATTGTCTGAGTACAAGGACTGAGAGTTCAAAAATTGTCCGCTATGTGCCGCTGGAGTGTTTAGCTGAGAAGCATGTTGTGTTTTGCTGTAGTTGAACATGCTGTAGTTTGCCTGGGGAGCAATGTACTGTGGCTGAATCACACCTGGTGCAGGACACATCATTTGCCTCAATAAAACAAATCCTTCAGATATTGAATCAGTGAGTTTTTCCATGTTACTAGAGAGCTTTTCCATTTGGTTGGAGTAAGCCTTGTCCATGTTATCCATTCTCTCTAGGAGTTGTTTCTTTATTTGAAGTTCTTCATGTGATATGTTAATGAGTTGTGCATCAACAGGCATTTTTCTTTTGAGTTTCTCACTCTTGTATCCTTGTAATCTTGCATTAAGGAGGTCCCTTCTCTCTTTGACTTGACCCTGGAAGATGAGCTACTGGAGGTTGAGACATTGTCTGTTGATATGTTAGCATCACTAGTTGCATCACCAGGGCTGTTTTCATTTTCTAATTCAGGGCTGATAGTTCCATTAAGCATATAATATGGACTTTCTGGGTTCAAGCTGTGTTCGTCGTCGATTTCAGCGGTCTCGATTCCATCTGCTATCGTACTCGTGGCAGGAGAACCACCCCATATTTGCTCGCATAGTTCAAAGTATAGCAATACTACGCGGCCATGTCCACTTTTCCTACCTGAATCAACAGCTTCCCTGAACTTCTTTCGAACCATTTTTAATTTGGATGTCAACACTGATTTTGAAAGTTCTTCGTTTGGGTGGGGGTAATCTTTCCCCATCATCAGGGCTTTTTCCGACGAAGGATACTGCTCAATGAAACGTTTAAAAATGTCATCATACTTGCTTCTGATCGATTCCCAATCGACATTCTCCATAGCGTTGGATGTTTTATATTCTAATGTTACTTTTAGTAAGAGTTCGACCTCATCATCACTCCAAATAAAGGAGTCCGTCTTGCTTTTCTCATTTTTCTTCGATTTCTGACCAAATAATGACATGTTTAATCAGACAAAGCCGAAAAACCTTTAACACTGACCGAATTCACAATTGCTAACCAATTTATCGCCAAGTTATAAAATATGTGCGGGTAACTGATAGCGCTAAAAGTCATGGGAACTAGAGTAAATCCGGATAATATCCGTATACGTGTGGACGCAACAACATTTTTTTGTGCTACCTGATCCGCAACAAAAAAGTTGCGGATACGAAAATATCCGTATACGTGTGGACGGGGTCTTAGATTCATTATTAATGACAATATCTTATCTGTTGAAGAGTTTTATCCAAAAGTGTTAAGTGCTACTTAAATATGTTTACCAAATTAAAAACACTACATTGGCGATACTGTCATTGTGCTGTACAAGTGCTCTTGAAAATTTACACAACTATCCGTGTGAACTGGCCATGTGCAAAAACCTGGATGGACTGTGGACTATGGACTGTGGACTATGGACTGTGTACTGGAGACTATTGACTGTAAAATAGGTTTATCATAAACCGAGAAAGTAGATCCTTGTTTATTAAGGTTGAACCAGGGGGGGGATGAAAGTTAACAATTTAAATCGCAAAGCTTGGAAACAGTGCAAACTTCATATTGCTATGCAATGATCAAATATCAAGTAAAAGTGGTGTTAATATATGCTCTCACATTCATCCGTCATTAGTAAATAACTCAAGTGTAAGTAATTAATGATTATTTTTGAGAGATACTTATGTGTAATCATGACAATATTTTTTACAGTCCTAGTAGTTTTCCCTTATTGTAAGTCAACCATATTTCGCAAAGAAACAAATATAACCTATTAACTTTATGTATATTACCTTGTAAGATTAGAAGTAGTTAAACCATTGTAAAATAGACGTTGAACATTAAATGTAATCGTATAGTTATCTGTGATATCTCTATTTGTTAGTGTATGTCAAACTATACTAAACAACATCTGGCTACATCACAAAACCTAACAAGTTACAAAAGAAAAACGCCTGTGCAACGCCATGCAATCTGCACTGATTAAACAAAGGTGCTAATAGATAAACGAATATCAATCATTTCCTTTCATTCGTCATGAAAGATGAGTAGTTTATAAAGGCAATATAGAGTAGTTTGCTAAAAGTGGCATAGCTGGCGCTTTGCGATTAAATAGTTAACTTTTACTCCTCTAGTTCACTTGTAACAAACAAGGATCTATTCCCTCGGTTTATGATAAACTATTCTCCAGACAATAGTCAGTAGTCAATGGTAAATAGTCAATAGTCACCAGTCCACAATCCAGTTTTAGCACATGCCGTTTTTAATGAACTACGCTTATCCGGATTTCCACTTGCAAAAGCATTCGCGCGAATCGACTTTCCCGCGAATCGAATTGTCTTCGATCGATTTTCTTTTTGAAGTTGAACTAATCACGATGGAAATATAGATAAAAAACATTTTGCATGCCAACTTTACGAGTGAAAAATGCATAAGCCTTGGCTTCCGGATCATCGCTAGGTCTACAAAATGACATGTAGACAAAACCTATCCGAAATAGGGCTATAGGGCACCCAAACATGCATTCACAACACGAAGTGGGAAATGATTTTCAAAGCGGATGATATAAGTCAATATACTAGGCGTTCTTTCACAATACTCGCGCGCTCATTAATAAGCAAATGAAACGTATCTTACAAATGTTCTACGAAACTTAATCTCACGAAAATGAGACACTATCATTTATATGCATTGGTGGCCTGAACCGCAATACAACAATGTTACGATTACTTTGAATTTAGAAGTGCAACAGAAAGAATGCGCGCTATTTGGTTTTGTTTTGTTCCATACATAAATTTCTTTGTGTAAAGAATGTTCGACTAGACGGTTTATGTTAAAAATAACCACGGCAGGAAATTACTGCTCAAACACGTTTCTTCTAGACGTTCGTCATCGTGATTAAAATTCCTTTTGGTTGATGCATATTTCTATGGTATCATCAACTGTTATTGTCATTCACGATGAGAGGATTAATTGGATACCGACATATACCGTTTTGTGAAATTACAAACACAGCACAAGTTAAGTTTGAATCTATGTAGGTCGGCGGATGAAACAAGCAATATATTCGACCTAGGTCAAACTATCTTTTTATCACGTGTGAATGTCACAGTGCTCGCCACTCCTCCCGCCCTACCCCCCCTGTCCCCAATTGTTTTCTATTTTGAAACCATTGTGTTAAATGTGATCTCATCGTAAAAAGTTGTCTCATCAAGTGTTGGTATTTGTGAACAACATCAGTTACATCACGATATAATGATGATCTTTGAAAATTTTCACTTTAATTCTTCTTCTCGAATTAGTTCGTCTTTTATCCAAAATTCCCGTGACCGCAGATTTAACTCGTGTTAATGCGAATTCGGATGCACCTGTTTGTCTTCGTAATCGTTTCGTACTCGCTCCGATATCATTTGAATGTTTTCAGGAACTGTAATGAGTAACCAGTACATCGTTCTCTCCAATTTCAAACGAAGTGCTGTTGTGACTTCTTCATCAAAATGTAAGCTTTACCCTACACATAAGTCGGCTCTTGATCCCTAATCGGCCAGGATAGCCGAAGCAGATCATCTAATACGGCAAAGTGTTAACGGCTTTCCATGTGGAAGGAATGTATAGCTCTGGAACAACCGTTACAGCGCTTCACAATACGCACCTTCCTAACAAGCACCTTCTTCGCGATTCTTTGATATCCTCAAAAGCACCAAACTCCCTCATGAAGATTCGCATAATGGCAGTCATCGATAATGGCAGAAATAGAAAATGGCAGTCATCGATAATGGCAGAAATAGAAAAAGGCAGTCATCGATAATGTTAGAAATAGAAAATGGCAGTCATCGATAATGGCAGAAATAGAAAATGGCAGACATCGATAATGGCAGAAATAGAAAATGGCAGACATCGATAATAGCAGAAATTGAAAATGGCAGACATCGATAATGGCAGAAATAGAAAATGGCAGACATCGATAATGGCTGAAATAGAAAATGGCAGTCATCGATAATGGCAGAAATTGAAAATGGCAGAAATAGAAAATGGCAGTCATCGATAATGGCAGAAATAGAAAATGGCAGACATCGATAATGGCAGAAATAGAAAATGGCAGACATTGATAATGGCAGAAATAGAAAATGGCAGACATCAATAATGACAGAAATAGAAAATGGCAGTCATTGATAATGGCAGAAATAGAAAATGGCAGACATCGATAACTGTTTTTTGTTTTTTTAAAGCAAGTCGTAGTTGGGTAATTGGATAATCATCTTTTTTTTGAATCTGGCAACAGATTTTTGTCGAACTCCTCATCCAGACCTTTTGGTAAAATTCTAGCACATCCTGTGTGCTAGCTTAGAATATAAGTTCTATCCATTGCGAATTTCGTTGTTTGATTTCTACAAGTTATTAATGCACCATTTAGACATAGTGTTCACTTTCTTCCTTTGTAAATAAATCTTCGGATTCATCCACAATTTCACAAAGTTCTTCAGAAGTTACATTTGCTCAGAAAATATTGAAATCGTCACCTGTGGAAGTTGCCAATTTCGCATATTTATCTAACTGGCCTCGTTTCAACGAGGCCTTCTCTGCTTACAACAGTCATGCAACAACACAAAACATTGTGCTAGTTTTTTATAGTTGTCAATCATTTTGAACTTGTGTACCAGATTTTCTCTTTCTCTCGCTTTCCAGCCTCTTGTTGTGGAATTACTTTGCCCGAGAATGGGCTTCCACTAGAATTAACATTTCTCCATTACCTCACGAAAAACTATCCGATTGAGTCCTGTCATCATCACTGCCATAACCATTCTAAATAAGAGCTAAGGTAAAGAAATCACGAAGATAGAACACATTCATGGTTTCCTCAATATCGTTTACGAGGTTTTTCTCAGGTGGACGAGACTTGGCAAAAGCCAGTCCCTTGAATGTACCACTC